AGAGCTGTGATGTAGTCGCAAAGCAGTGCTGTCTGCATGACTGACTCTCAGAGGCAGAAGGAAGAGAAGCCTGCGTCTCTGATCTCACTCTACATGGAGAGGCGAGAGCTCTGGGCGTGGGTGTCTGATGGAGTTGTAAAGGTTCAGTGTAGTGATGGGGTCATCAGCTACCCACAGATTTGTTCACCTCTGCTGCTTCTGAGTAACGTGGGTTCACAAGCTCAGTCCATTTAATTGGATGGACATGGATCAGTCACCTCCTGTTAATTGAGCAGAGAGTTGTCCAGGTAGAGGACCCAGGTTTTGTCCCAGGGAGCTCCCAGTCCCCTGCATTCGTGCCAGGCCCTAAACAAGTCAGTAAGTGGTGGTTCAATGAAACTTGAAAAAGTTTGTGGGAAAAAATGGAATGAAAAGAGAATGCCAACTTTCTATGAACTTTTTAAAAAAAGATTTTATTTATTTATTTGACAGTTAGAGTTACAGACAGTGAGAGAGAGAGACAGAGAGAAAGGTCTTCCTTCTGTTGGTTCACTCCCCAAATAGCTGCCACTGTTGGAGCTGTACCGATTCGAAGCCAGGAGTCAGGTGCTTCTTCCTGGTCTCCCATGGGGTTGCAGGGGCCCAAGCACTTGGGCTATCTTTTACTGCTATCCCAGGCCATAGCAGAGAGCTGTGGACTGGAAGAGGAGCAACCAGGATTAGAACCAGCGCCCATGTGGGATGCTGGTGCCCGTAGGTGGAGGATTAACCTAGTACGTCATGGCGCCGGCCTCTCTATGAACTTTTTGAAGTATCCTTGTTGTATTAAGTAATAATGTACTATATATACTTAATCCTTGTTGGATTAAGTAATAATGTACTAACCACCGGCTGGCCCTGTGGCTCACTAGGCTAATCCTCTGCCTTGCGGCGCCGGCACACCGGGTTCTAGTCCCGGTCGGGGTGCCGGATTCTGTCCCGGTTGCTCCTCTTCCAGGCCAGCTCTCTGCTGTGGCCAGGGAGTGCAGTGGAGGATGGCCCAAGTGCTTGGGCCCTGCACCCCATGGGAGACCAGGATAAGCACCTGGCTCCTGTCATCAGATCAGCGCGGTGCGCCAGCCGCAGCGTGCTGGCCGTGGCAGCCATTGGAGGGTGAACCAACGACAAAAGGAAGACCTTTCTCTCTGTCTTTCTCTATCTCACTGTCCACTCTGCCTGTCCAAAAAAAAAAAAAATAATGTACTAACCACCATTTATTGACCAATTGCTATGTGTCAGAATTTTTCCTAAGTCTTTTGGCTCTATTAGTTTGGCTTCTATTCTCTCTCTCTATATATATATGCACACACATACACACACATACATATATATATATTTAATTTGAAAGGCAGAGAGAGATAGATTTCCTATCTGCTGGTCTATTCCCCAAATGCCTATAACAGCCTGGGCTGGGCCAGCCAGGAGCCAGGAGCCAGGAGCCAGGAGCCAGGAGCCAGGAGCCAGGAGCCAGGAGCCAGGAGCCTGGAGCCAGGAACTCAGTACAGACAGTGTTCTAGGAGCCCTGCGTACTTGAGCCACCACCAGCTGCCTCCCAGAGTGCAACTGAGAGGAAGCTGGAATGGACTGTGGAGCCAGGACATGAACTCTGAGCTAAGACATGTACTCCGATGGGGCTGCCGGCATCCCAGGTAGTGTGTGAAATGCCTGCCCCTGCCATGGTTTTCAGCCACACATGCTTCCTGTTTCCAGGGTCTTCCTTGAAGGAACAGATTCTTACCGCCTCTCTCTCTTGCTGTCGTCCACCGCCCTTCTCTCTGCCACCAGCTAACCTGTCTGAAGCTCAGCTGTAGTCATGGTAATGATAGCTCTGTGCAAGGTTCTAAGCTCTTTACAGGTTATCAACCGAGCTTGTCTGTGCCCCCTCATCTGCCAGTCTCCAGACAGGAGATGGTGGTTTCTGAAAGTCCAGCAAAGCTGCAAAGCTTTTAAGATGTTTACGTAAGCATATCTTATTGTTTTATTTTTAACTAAAGTACACCAATGTACATTTAGTCAACATTATCTTGCTGTGGAGCCAAGGTGTTTTCTTTGAACGCACACACAGTGATGGAGTTCCGCCTCCCTTCCTTTATAGACCACACCCAGGAAAACCCGCCAGCCACAACTTCCAGTTCCAGCAAGTACAGCAAGAACTTGAACTCACGTACGAAGCAATCTACATGTAGAAATATTAAAGATGTTTGTGATTGTCCCCAATCTTTTCCAGTGATTTTGCCCACATCTAATTCAATAGCTATCTCTTGGTGACTCACTTTTCTCAATCCAAAGCATTCAGTTGCGTGTTGAAAGAAGCAGCGATTCCTCTCCTCACACTTATCATCAGTTTATGTGATGCTTCATTCAATCTCATGGTTCCCCCACCCCTTCCATAAGGTGCTGATCTGTCTGTGAGGGTGTAGTTCCAGGACTTCATTGCTTCCTCAAGGCCTGCTTGTTAATACCACCGCCATCAGGATTTGGGTGGGACACATTTACACCCTAGCAGGCAGGGACTCAAGCCTTAGGGTTTAGGATGAAACTTTTCACACTGAAGACATGCTAGAAGCTGTACAGGTCTGATCTGTATTTTTTTTTCAGAAGCAGGTAGAACAATCTCCTGATTTGACTGAAGTTGAAACAAAATATTCAGCTTTTGAAGTCAACAAGATGTTACCATTCTAGCTGTTACCAGGCCAGTTACCAGTTTGCAGAATAACTGTGTGTGTGTATACTTTAGTTTACATCTGATGTCTCCTCATGTACCTACAATGTTTTTTTTAAGTTTGATTTAAAAAAAAATTATTTGAAATGTTGAGGGTGAGGTGGGGAAGAAAGAGAAAGAGAGGGAAAGAGAGAGAGAGAGAGAGAGAGAGAGAGAGAGAGCGGCAGCTGGGATAGCCTGAATCTGGGAGCCAGGCACTCCATCTAGGTCTTCCATGTGGATGCAGAAACTCAAGCACTTGGACCATTACCTGCTAATGTGTCTGGGAGCTGGATCAGAGGCAGGCATCCCAACACCCATCCCATACCTGCAGCCTCTCAGAAATTTAAGGTATGTGAGTTAAGCTTCAGCTGCAGGTTCAGGAAAGTCACCACCATCTGTTCTGTTTCTTGTTCTCTTTTGTTCTGTCCAGAGAGAGGGAATGTTCTCCTGTGGATTCTGCGTGGGCTGTATCAGCCTCAAGTTGATTGGGAGACAGCAGCTTGGGGAGGCTCCTGCCATGGCTCCCCGACCCCAGTGATGGACCCTGTGCCCGTAGCCCAGAGAGTCCTCTCCGAGCCTTGGCAGCCTCTTTTGATAAAAGAGCCCAAGCCTAGGTGGTTCTAGTGTTTGTAAAAATGTTTAGAAAGCTCTCACTTGCTGATTTCCCCACTCATTCTCATCCTGCACTGAGCACACGGCTTAGGCTGTGTATTCCAGGACCAGCGTCAGGCCCTAGGCACCGTGCCAGACCTGATGAGGTCTGTCAATTCATGTGAGCAGCAGCAGCTGCCTGGGAAGTTATCCAATGCGCCATCAAGCCCCAACAACTGTCCTGGGATGGCTGTGCTGGCTGTGTTTGCTGTCTGCAGCCAGCAGAAGCCCGGCCACACCTGTGGCTAATCCCCCAGAGCAGCAGTTCCGGCCGATGAAGAGCAGGCGACATCCGGGCTGGGCATGGAAAGGTGAACAAACATTGCCCGGTGCCCTGCCAATCGCCAGTCCCCTCATTCTGGTTTTTTTTTTTTCCCCTTCTCCTCCGGCAAATTTGGTTTCCTGAAATTAATTATTCAACAGGAGGTGACAGCCGGTGTATAGCAGCACTGTTGGAACAGAGAATAAAGAGGCACATTGGACACAGCAGCTGCACCTCCCAGACCCTGAAATTTAAGATCTTTATAAATGATCTGTTAAAACTATAGTGACGATAAGCTTATGAATCATGATCTATATTAATCAGGGCTGCTGATATGGAAAGATTAATTGAAACGTGCAGTTCTACACAAATGATAAAGTGGTAACAATTTAATATCAGACAAGAAGAGTGAAGAAATTACACTCCAAGCTTCATGCATCATTACTATGGATATTAATATTTTACCCAGCGCAACAGCATCGGGAATCATAATGAAAATCCATAAGTGGTGCACAGACATGATTAAATACAACAGTCTTTAGGAGCTGTGTGGTGGCAGCAGTTGGGCCATATTTCACTCGGCGGCTGGTGATTCCAGTGATAGAGTCTAGACGAGGGTGATTAAAAATTGTTCCTCCTAAAGGCTGTTAACCTTTTACTACTAAAATGAATTTCTTTGATTTTTAAATTATGTTGTTCTCTTTGCTCTTTTCAAAACCCAGCTTGATCCCAAGCCTTGACAGGATGGTGGGCCGTTGGTGTAATGACAGGCGAAGCAAAGTTTCTCAGCTCCTGTGCCCTGCCTTCGGGTGTGACATTAGCCAGATCATGCAGAATTGTGGCTCGCTGCTTGCCTTGAACCAGGATTGGGAGAAACAGTAAGTGATGGACCAGCAAAGGCTCTCAAGTTTCCAAAAACCAGAAGTTGATGGAGCTTCCTCTCCTAACCTTATTACAGTGGAGACGGAAACCACATATTCTGAGATCTGGTCTCATTGTCTTAATGGATTCATTTATTTTATCATTCATTCAACAAACAGCTGGGAAATATGACAATCTGCCCCAATGAGCACCTGTTCTAGAATTAAGAGGCAAAAAACTGACATGGGGGTAAGACCTTTGAAAACAGAGGTCAAGAAGTGCCTTGGGATTAGCTCCACTGCCCCCCCGGGCCACAGCAGAGAGCTGGACTGGAAGAGGAGCAACCAGGACTAGAACCCAGAGCCCATATGGGATGCCGGTGCTGCAGGAGGAGGATTAGCCAAGCGAGCCATGGCGCTGGGCCCCAAGATCTTTGATCTTAAAACCAACCCTTATGGTTACAAATATTCCACCCATCACATCACTTTGTACTGTGTTAGGTATCCTAGCCCTGCTTTTATGTATCAAAACTCACACTGATCAATGAATTCTGGGTGGCAAAAGATAATCTATTTTTTGTACCTGTGTGTCAGTCTTTGTCTTCAAGTTAAACAAAAACATATACAAGTGCAGTGACTGCACCACTTCTGATTCAGCTTCCTGCTAATGTTCCTGGAAAGTTAGTGGGAGATGGTTCAAGTACTCAGGATCCTGCTGCCAATGTGGGAGATCAGGATAGAATTCCTGGCTCCTGGCTTCAGCATGGCTGAGACCTGGCCATTGTGGCTATTTGAGTGAATCAGTGGATGGAAGATACTTCTCTGTCCCTCTGTATCACTTGGTCTTTCAACTAAATAAATAAATCTTTAAAAAATGTTCAGAATATGCAAAATACATATGCAAAATATATTAGTATTTTCCTAGGGCCAGATAGAATTGAGAGATTGGGAGGTAATAGCTAAGTTTTCTTTCCGGGATATTAAAAATGTTCTAAAATTGATTGTGGTTATGAATATACAACTCTATGACTATACTAAAAATCATCATACTATACATTTAAACAGGTGAATTGTAAGATGTGTGAGTTATCTGTTTTATATTGAGTGAGTTGTGTTTGTACTTCCTGAGGAACTGGTCCTTCTCATCTAAGTTGTCAAATTCATGGGTGTAGACTTATTCATAGTATTCCCTTATTACTCTGCAGCATCTGAAGACCCCAGTTTCATTGCCAATGTCAGGAGTTTGTGGCATCTTTCTTTTTTTCTTTTGTTGGTCTTATGAAGGCTTATGAATTTTATTGGTCTTCTCAAAGAACCGGTTTTGTGTTTCGCTGATTTTCCTCATGCTTTCTGTTCTCAGTTCCATTCGTTACTGCCCTTGTATTTACTGTTTCCTTTTTTCTTTTTGCTTTGGGTTTCCTTGTCACTCTTTTTTAAAAGTGGAAGCTTTCATTAGTTATTTGAGATTTTCCCTTTTTATACGCATTTAGTGACATAAATTTCTCTCCAATCACTGCTTTCGCTGTTTCCCAGCACTATTGATAATGCCGTATTTCATTTTCACTCACTGCAGGTGTTTCTGTATTTATCCTGAGATTCCCTCTTTGCCTCATCAGTTATTTAGCTTGCAAATACTTGGAAGTTTTTCTATTATTTTTCCACTTTTGATCTTTGAGTTTGATTCTCCGTTGTGATCAGAAAAGACCCCCTGTATGATTCTAATTTTTAAAAACTTGTTAAGGTTTGCATTATGGTCCAGGGTATGACCTAGCTTAGTTGGTGTTCAGTGGGTATGGGCGTGCTCTTCTTTTGTGAGGCAGAATGTTCTGTGAACATCAGTTGGGTTGTGTTGATTGATGGTGTGGTTGAATTCTGTATCTTTACAACTTTCTTTGTAGACTTTATCAATCACTAAGATCGTGTTTCTGACTTTCCAAATAAAATTTTACTTTGCCTAGTTCTTTAATTTCTGTCTGGTTTGCTTCAAATATTTTGGCCTGATGTTAGGTGTGTACATATTTAGGATTGTTACGTGGTGGATGCTTCTTTTATCTTTCTATATTGTCCTCTTTTTATCTATCTTGCACTCAAATCTACTTTATCTTATATTAATTTAGCTATTCTTGCTTTTTTTGAATAATATTTTTATTTTTTTTATCTTTTTTGAAGATTTATTTGAAAGTCAGAGTTACAAAGAGAGAGGAGAGGCAGAGAGAGAGAGAGAGGTCTTCCATCTGATGGTTCACTCCCCAGATGGCCACAACGACTGGAGCTGTGCCGATCCAAGCCAGGAGCCAGGAGCCTCTTCTGGGTCTCCCACATGGGTGCAGGGGCCCAAATACGTGAGCCATCTTCCTCTGCTCTCCCAGGCACATTAACAGGGAGCTAAATCAGAAGTGGAGCAGCTGGAACTTGAACCAGCTCCCATACGGGATGCTGGCGCTCCAGGCCAGGGCGTTAACACGCTGAGCCACGGCGCCAGCCCCTGAATAATATTTGTAAGACATCTCTTTCTCTATCTTTTCACTTTCCATCTGCCTGTGTACTGTTTGAAGCTAGTTTCTTTTATACAGCATATTGCTGTATTATGCTTTCCCCTGCACTCTGACAATCACTGTCCTTCATTTTAATGTAATTAAAGTGGTACTTCAACCACTTACATGTGATATGATTAAATGGCTGAGTTAGGGCTCAAGTCTGCTGTTTCACTTTTTGCTTTGTGTTTGTTTGCTCTGCTTGCTGTTCCCCTTTGTTTTATTTCTCTTGCCTTCTGTGGGTTATTTGAACAATTTTTAGAAATGCCACTTTGGTTTGTTGATAGTATCCTTTAATATCTTTCTGTACAGGTTTATTTTTGGTGTTTTTTTCCTAATTTCTCCCTCCCTCCCTCCCTTTCTTCCTTCCTTCCTTCCCCTCTCCCTTTTTTTTTCTTCCTGACAAGTTTCCTTCTTTTCTTTTCTTTCTGTTTAAATTTTACTTAGTCTTTTATTTTTTCCACTCAACTACAAAGAGAGCTTGATGTTGACAAACTCTCTTAGGTTTACTTCCTCTGATAATTTCTTGATTTTTTTCTTTCATTCCTGAAGATATTTGCACTGCGCGTGGGATGCTGGGTTAACAGTTCATTTCTGTACTTCAGGAGTGTTACACCACTTCCTTCTGCCCTTCGTGGTTTCTGAAAAGAAATATATGATCATTCTAGTTGTTTCCCTCTTACAGGGGAAGTGTCTTTGTGGATGCTTTCAAGATTTTTTTGTTTGTATCTCATTTTTATAGCTTGTATTACAGATGTCTTGAAGTGGACTTCCCAAGATTTATCCCGTTTAGACTTCATTTGCCTTGAATCTGCATGTTTGTATCTCTTGACATATTTGGGACATTTTCAGTCATTATTTCTTCTAGTACCTTTTCAGCCTGATCCTCCTTTTTCCCTTTCTTTCTGGGACTCTGACCACAGAGATGTTAAAACTTTTGGTATAGTCCCACAGAACTTTGAGGGACAAAAAAAATTCAACAACAAAAATTCATGATAGTGCTGCATCCACAAACCGATGAAGTTCCTATGGAAAATGATGAACTGTGGTTAATTAGAATTTATTCCAATAGTGTAAGCCTGGTTTTCTTTAAGAAATTAGTAATAAGATCATTACATTCATAAATTAAAGAAGAAAAATCATATAATCCTTCCTGTAGCAGCTAAAATAAATATTTGATAAAGTTCAGCCCATGTTTCTTATTAAAAAGGTAAAAGAAGACATAAGTCAATGTAATAGTTACAGAACCTGGAAATGGTCATTGTTGGAGACTTTTTAATTTGATGAAGTACATCCAGCAGACATCTTTTCCAAGTATCATTAATAGTGAAGCTTGAGAAACATTCTCTTCAAGGTGAGGACAAGAGAAGACAGGACTACGACTGCAACCTTTCAGTGTTATTCTAAAGGTACTAGATAAAGGAATAAGACAAGAAAAATTGGGACAACTGTTAGAAATGAAGGGATGAGCAGTTATTATTTGGAAACAGGATGATTGTCTACCTAAAATATCCGAGAAACATTATAATTATCATTCATTAGAACTATTAACATAGTACAGCAAGGCATCTGAATACAAAATCAACATACAGATTCCATTAGCTTTGTTATAGATGACAAGACTCATGTAGAAAGTCAGTGAAAAAATGGCACCCACAGGAGCATCAAAATGCTTACCAATGGACCTAGTGAAGTATATACAAGATACATACAAAAGAGGATAAAAGTTAATTGGAAACCCATAAAGGAGGAGCAGCTGAGAGACATATTATGATTTGAAGTAAAAATTTGAAATCGTAAGGATGGGAATTCTCTGGAAACTTAATTTGTAAATGCAAGTAAACATCTATCAAAAGCCAAAATGATACTTTTTGAAAGAAACCTGAAAAAATGACTGTAAAGTTTTCCTACGGAGAAAATGCACACAAAGGAGCCATGAAAATAAATCTTAAGAGGAGAACAATGAAGGGGTGCTTGCCTAATAGATATTAAGATGTTTTATAATGCCATAGCAACTGAAAGATTTGGGAATTGTCACTAAAATAGACAATTTAATGAAAGAATCCAAAAACAAACTGAAAGGTGTTCTTGTAACTACCTTTTCTACCTTTCCAAGAGTTTGGATTGAACTTGACCCCCATTGTCACCAACAAGAGAGGAATTTAAGCAAGATACAATTGCTAAAACCCCTGGCCAGCACACAGAGCCTTTGGGTGAGAATGAGTTCTGTGGTCTTCCTTGAGGTGAAACAGGGAATGGATGAGGCAACACCCAAACCTGAAAACCTTGATCAATCAGAGGGAAAGTAGCAGGTATGTGCAATATTCTAGACTTTCAAATATCCATTATCCAAATAGCATCGAAGTCCATCCACTTATAAATTCTTTCTCTGTTTCCCATGTAACTCAAATGTCTCCAGTATTTTCCTCATCACAGAGATAACTAACCAGTTAAGCTGCTGCTTGCAGCACCTGCATCCCAGATCAGAGTGCCTGGGGTTGAGTCCTGGCTGCATTCTCCATGCCAGCTTCCTGTTAATGCAGTCCCTGGGAGGCAGCAGATGATGACGCAAGTAATCATATTTCTGCCTCCCTTGTGGGAGACCTGGATTGAGTTCCAGGCTCCTGGCTGTGGTCTGGCCCATTCCTGCCTGTTGCAGGCAAGTGGGGAATGGATCAGAGGATGGGGGATCTTTCTTCGCCTTTCAATAAACAAGGACATGTAAACTTTTAAAAGTGACTAAACTACATGGAGATTTGCCCCTAATTAATGTCTATTTCATTTTTTGGTGTCCTAATTGAAATATAATTAACACAACACAGGGTTTCCCTAATCAGGGTAATTAAGGGTGGACAGTCTCCCTAAACATGGTCTGCTCTGGGCTTAGTCTTCTGTGTTTGAAAGTATATTCTCAGCATGTGACCTTCCATCTCTTTATCTGACTTCTGTTAGGATGACATCAAGGAGTGACTGCAAGCAGCCCTCCCCGGGGGCCATTGTAATGACACAGGGGGTTAAGCTGCTACTTGTGACCTTGGCGTCCCACATCAGAGTGCTGGTTTGGATCCTGCCTACTCTGCTTCAGATCCAGCTTCTGCC